CCCTCAACGGGGCAATTTCTTGGCTAATGATTTCCACCTCTTTCTCATTTTGCTATAAACGAGCCTCCAATACAACAACCTCAGTGGTCTTGGCTTCTAGTTCCGAGAGACGAGCTATACTTTGCTCCCGCTCTGCCAAAAGCTGATCCCGTGCAGAAGTAATTTCTTCCTTCTCACGAATCGACCTCTGAAGGCCCTCAGAAGCAAGAAATTTGGCCTAAAAAGCAAGAAAGGTAAAACTCAGGATACGTTCATACAAAAATAGAAGAAGTAACAAAGGAAGAAAGGAACGTACCGCTGCGGCATTATGCATGGTGTTGTTCAACAAACACTCTCCCGAGAGTTTTTGAATATTTTCCAAATATTTTTCTAAAGCCAAAAGCTTCATATAATTAGCGAGCTCTACCAGCCGGGATAGCAAATTGCATCTGGTAGAGACCAAAAGAGTAACATTCCTCCTCCTTTGTGGATCCTCAAAACGGGCATCATAATTTTGCCCCAAGATCCCATGAATTGGGCATTGTGGAAGAGGAACACCTTCTTCATGGTCAGGTGTGGCCGGTGGAGATGATGTAGCAGTTGCTGGTGGAAGAGTGGATGAAGACGAAAATAATGTAGCAGTTGCTGGTGGGAGAGTGGATGAAGATGGAAATGGTGTAGCAATTGTTGGTGTTGGTGAAGGTGGAGATGAAGATGATAGAGTTAAATAGTGAGAAGCAGCTGCATCAAATACAGTTCTGGTTGTTGGATGCTCGCCAACCAAAGATGGCAGGGACTCAATACATAGTCCCGCAATACCAGGCACAACAATTGGGGCTCAAAAATGGGAGTTGGCATTTTCTACTAAACCAAACTCCCCCCAAAGTGCTGAGGCGTCATCCTTGGTTGGTGTAACTAACTCAACAGATTGAGCATTCTGTTGAGTTGATGATGAACGTCCCCTTCTGTGTAGAGAAGCTCATCATCACTAGCTTTTCCATCATCGTCGATCATCACAGTGTCTATGACCGGCCCGGGAAGAGGGCTAGTGATCACAACTTCCAGAGACGACTGGGGCAATAGTCTTCGCCTTCTTATTCTTTTCCCTAGTTGCAGAAGAACGCCTTCTTTTTGGTTGCTTGTTCTACGTACGGGGACTCCATAGTAAAACAGGTGTGCCTGAAGCAGACCTGGAGACACCTGTTCGAGTAAGCGCTTCCTGAAGTAGCCTTGCCGCATTAGTATGATCAGCTAAAACGTCCTCCTCGGGGACAGCTTTAGAACCCGCAGGTAGACCTGATTTCCAGAAAAAGATAGAAGGGATCAATTAATTTCCTCACATAAAAAGTTGAAACACAGTTAGTTTAAATTACCATAATTTTTGGCCTTCCACCTGTATTTGATGGAGAGCTCTTTTTACGTTCGGGTCTTAGGTGTAGTGATGTCCAAGATCTTTTGGATCCACTGGCCCAAGCCTTCAACATTAGGCAGAACCCATCGAGTTGCTGAAACAAGTGTATAATGAAAGGTCAATACAGATATGGAGGAATCCTTAATCAACTAAATATTAAACACAAATCTTACGAGTGCGGTTCCACGCTTCCGGAAAGAATGAAGTCATTACCAGAATGATATCATTAGTAGAAACTGCAACGAACCGTTTCATCCACCAACGATCGTTATCGTCATCCATGCTAGATAACATAGCATGATGGCCACACTTGCAGAGGTTTATCATTCCCCCACGGAAGATCTTGGGAGAATAGAGATTCATCAGATGAGTTAAAGATAACTCCTCTCCTGTTTCCTGGCACAAACGTCAAAGGCAGGAAACCGTCCTCCACAGAGAAGGACTTACTTGTGCCAAACACACCTGGTAGAAGAGGTAACACTCCGCAATAACGGAGTCAAGCTCTATATTCAAAGAGAACGCACCCAAAGTAAAGAGATACGTGTAAAAATATGTAAAACCCTCCTTGGGTAGGGTCACTCACTCTGATAGATCAGGAGCAACAATATCCAAATCATGACGGCGGCAGTCCTCCTTCATAGCAAGAATTCTAGAAGGACGGATTGAAGAAGGATACCTACTGACAGCCCGTGAACGAGGGTTAACAATAGGAAATTTCTCTTCAAAATCTTTTGTGGTAACAAGACTTCTAAGGATGATGAATCTCACTGTTAGAGGAGCTGAGCCCTCGGCCTTGTTCTTGTTCTTTGAAGAACTGGTACGCTTTGAGGAAGAAGTCATTGTACGGAAGAAGGAAAAGTTTTTTGCTGAAGAGAATTAGAGAAGATATGAAGAGCAGGATGCAAGTAAAGTAAGGAAAGCTTGGTAAATTATGGAGTATAAGGGGGATGGTTGATGCGTATAAGCAAAAGTTTTGGCAGCTAATTTCATGGCCATGATTACCTTGATAATCGCCAAAAGCTATACTGAATCGTTGGATGACGCGTGTTCGAGGCATTAAATGCGGAGAAACGTTCGTCTAATCAACCGTCAGAAGCCTTCAGAGGGAGTTATAGTAATTCTCGCCAAAAGAATATTTCTACCAATTTCCCGGTAAAACAAAGTTATGCCACTGGAAAACAGGAGGACTATCTGTATAGGGTAAAATATGTTATACCACGTGGCCATCCAAAAAAGGAAAATGTGGAACCTAAGGGGGGATGTCCATGATCGAAGGAAGCTAGTCCATCTGTCACCGGGAAGAATACCTCTCGTAAGGATGTAATAAATACTCCTCGCCCCGTAAGATTTAATAACGAATATTCTATGACATTAAGTACGATTGCCCGTTAGAATTTGGCATTTATACTCACCGTTACATCTTCATCAATGGCCCTCATAATTGATATTAAAGAGGAGTGTGATTCTAGGACCTCCTTCCCTAGACCTAGCTATAAATAGTGAGCTCAGTTATCATTATAGGCGGAATTTTCTGAAAAACTTATACTATATTCTATCTAAAGCTCAAACTATAATTTTGTCTTCTTGCTTTTTGATTTCATTATTGTTGTGCCCGGAACCACCGTATTTCTGCTATTTCGTATCCATCTCAAGGCTAAGTATTGCATATTTCTTCAATTATCTTATTATTTCAGGATCAAATTAATTCAGTTGTCTAGAAATCACGGATAAATTCAACTATACCATTTTACGGTAAACAATACAGTAATAATATACAATATACTACAACAGTATGCTTCGATTGCTATTGTTTGAATCATCTAGATTGGGCAAAGCTAAAATCGTGGTTATAGTCCGAATTTGATTGCTGATAATTGAGGAATTTGGTCCACCGTTGAAGGAGATTTGAACCTTTGGGTTTGGAATTAAAGACTCAATAGTTATTTCGACTGTAAACTTAGATGGGTATTATTAAAATTTGTTGCAAGTGTTTGTAAGAATTTGAATTTGAAGTTTAAGTTCATTTAGAGCTGATCGATATGAAGTTGGGTTGTCGAACATTTCAAGCTAAAAATATGCTCCCACTACGATCTCCATTTGTTAATTTTCTATTGTGGTTCTACGGAATCTGGTAGGGCTCTGTTTGGTTTCTTTGATATTGTGGTTATTTTCAGCTTCTTTGAGCTTAAATAAAGATTTAATAGGTAGCATTCTTTTTGGGTATAAACGGATAATTTTTTAGTATTCTATATGTATTCATAAATTTTTCCAAGTATTTACTCCCGCGAAGAAGAACACTCTTTGGGTACATTTAAGGAACTTGAATCTCAGTTTTGGGATGATTTAGTAGAGTTTTGAGGTAGTTTGAATTGAAAAAAAGTAGAAGATGAATATGAAAAAATGATATGTGTATCACACTGTGTATCATTTGTGTATCACATATATATCATATTTGCATCAAATAATTTTTTGTTCTCGATTTTAACTACAAATTTTGATACCAAATCAATCTAAATCACCTCCAATCTTCCTCAAATTATATTGACTCATCTATATGTTTTCAATGAATTTCAATCATACCAATTGAAAAAGGTCCATTTTTACCTAGATTTTTGGGATCTTTTTTTTTTTTTTTTTTTTTTGTATATATATA